TCTAATTTGTTTGATAATTTTTTATTGTGCCGGCCAACATGCTTAAAAGAGATTTATTCATGAAGAGGGCAACATCAGCATCTCTTCAAACATCTTCATCTGCAAACAGATGAAGAAAAAAAATCTGTAAACAGCAGAAGTAAGTGAGAAAGCATGAAGAGCAGCATACAAAATTACCCCTGCCTTGTGGGTCACTTTGGAGCACCTTTCAATTTTATTTATTAAGCAGTTTCTGCACAAAGTGTGTTTTGCTTGACGCAGGCATCACGCAGTGAATACTAAAAGGATGCCTGAGTTCTGAGGCGCTGGGGGCAGGGGGAGGGCGGGAACGTCCCTTTATTCCTGGAGTTATTGTTTTATAAATAAAAGGTGCTGCTGAGATGGTGTGTATAGCGCAGATAGGGCATAAAGGATCACTGCAGTGGGTTGATAGGGATGATCTGTCGTTGAAAACCCATTAGTGCAGACGGTAGGTGAGGTAAAAGTGCTGAAATGTCAGGATGTGGAACGCCAGAACAACCCTTAAAATAGTTCCTCCAAAAATAGCCTCTGTGGGCAACAGGAGGGGGCTCTGCCTGCATTTATTTCTATTACAGCTCAGTGACATGCTGTCCCTTGAGTGCTCTTGCTCACAGGCAGCAGCAGCCCAGGGACGGGGCAAGCATTGCCCTGCATGTGTGTGGCTGTGACCTGAGGAAGGATGACCCAAGGAGCAAAGCAAAGGCCAGAGCAGAACAAAGCTGTGCGGGTGGCTGCAGAGATGCTGAGGGCTTGGTGTGACCGGAACAAGGGTTCTGGGAGCACCTGGCAGTGCTTTGGACTGGCCCAGCCACACCTCATGAGAGGATGAGACCTGGAACTCAACACATGTTCAGCTTCTGCAGGGAAAGTATCCTAACAAAAAAAAAAAAAAAAGGCATTTTGGCTAAGGACAAGTCACCAAGTGCCCCCTGAACACAACAGCCAGAGGACAAGAGATGCCAGACTTTGCCCTCGGTGTACAACATAGACACAACCCAGGGCAGAGAAGGGGAAGCCCCACGGAAAGAAAAACCGTAGGAGAATCACCCATTTTGGCACGTGGTGAAACAGCTGTGTCAGCAGCGTTTCATCTGCAATATGTGCAGCGAACATAGGTGGGAATTCAGTGCCTGGTTTGCAGCCGGCAGCCTGCGAGTCAGCGTGATGACTCAGGGCTTTCACTTTCTCTGCAGGCAAAGGCAGTCAGACCTCATTCAGGCAGAGTTTCCGTTTTTTGGGATAAAAGACCACTTCTTGCTCTCCTTGTCCTGATAAAGCCAATATTGCCAATTCGTTGCACGTCAGGAATTTTGTAAATGATTGTCACTGCCCTGAAAAGAGCTGTGAGCAGTGTCTGCTGGCTTTATAACCACCTTCTCTGTCCTTAGCAGTAGTGTTTTCACACCCTTTGAAACTCACTGATCTGATGATCTTGAGATCAGCAGGGGAACAGCATCCCCCTCCATTGGTACTGCCTTTTTTTTGGTGTCTGGTTTTGTATCACTGTGTCCTACGTGTGTACTATCACCCCATGCAAATCCAAAGGGTCCAACCTCTCCTGAAAGCAGTGACCATCTACTGCATCCAGCACCTCTAGAGCTTTGCCTTCCTCCAGGTGACAGCAGAAGATGGGTGTCAGATTTATAGCTCGGTCAGGTCCAATGAAATCACTGAATCATAAAATCATCAAGGTTGGAAGAGACCTCTCAGATCACCTAGTCCAACTGTCAACCCATAACCATCATTCCCACCCAAACAGCACGGGATTTGGAATAAATGAAGTGTAAACAGTTCACTTGGGGTATTGAAAAGGATGAGATGGAAGTAAATCTGGGTGATGCTGCGACTGTACCAATAGCTAAGCAAACACAAGCATTGCAGCACTTGGGAAGGCATGGGAGGAGGCAGATTGCAGCTTAGGAAGCATAAATCACAAAACGTATCTATCTTTTCCAGTCATTAGGAAACGGGAATGAATAACAGAAACAGAGAAAAGAGAGAAGGTCAACGGAGAAGGGCTAAAGGTTAATTTCCCAATTGCAAGGATATGAAAGGTAATGGCCCCAGATGCCTGTGAATTTCCTTTCAAAAGAGGCATCCTCATTTAATGCACTTTTTTATTAACACTCTTGTATCAGCTTCTTAGTGTTGCAAGACGGTTTTCTCTTCTGCTATTAATACGAGAACAATTCATACAACACAGTCTTCTGATGGACCCTGAAGTTTTCAACACGTTAGGTAAGGACAGTAAATCTTTCAGAAAACCAACCTATTCCTGCTGAAGTCAATGGGAACTTTGCCTCCAATGTCCATAGTGATGCGAAAGGTCCAATTGCAATGACTAATGGCATTACTCACATCTTTACTGGAACCTGTTGTTTATAAGCAATTCCAAAATGTTTGTTCAGAGCACTCAATTCAGACGCAAACATTGCCAGCTTGCATTGCATTTTATGATACTGGGAGCTCTCAAGTCCCACTGTGTATCATGCAGGCTGCCCACTGCTCTAAGTGTAAGTGAGGGATTTGCTTTGTGGAGCTTACAAAGGCCCTTTCGTATAGTGAGCGCTGTACATCATGGGAAAGCTGGAGGAGCGCTCTGTGTCTTAGACCTAAAGTTGAAAGGTCTTAGAATCAAACTTAGACCAAAGGTTGAAAGGCAGGTGGAAGAAGTCACGGTCCTCTCAGTCCTTTTCTCCTGAGCCCTTGGGAGATGCTGGACACCAGCGTACAGACCCAGCACCATGTGACTTGTTTTGTGCTCTCCAAATACCCCTAAACCACATTTGACACTTGATCAGCGAGCTGCTCCCCATATAAATGGCACTAACAGAGCCATGCCTTTCCGGCGCATCTCAGAGCACCAGACACGTATATTGCCATTTTTCAGGATGTGGGATGCAAGATGAATAGATTTCATACCATGACTTCCAAGCCTCCATCCAGGGGCTGCTGATGAACTGCCCCATTCACAGCAGTTATGGCAGTTATTTATGTTAAACAGATTAAAGGCTGAGCGCCTTAGATTTTCTCTGAGTGATGTGTTGTTTCAGCTTCCTTTACGTCAAAATTTGTTTGCGCAAGTGAGGAAATACTGTGCTCACATTCCCGTGGGGGAAAAAAAAGTTCATGGATTCAAGTTGAGTTAATTTTATTATGGTAGAGATGTTCTCTGGTGAGGGGCTGAAAAGGTTGGTGCTGTGTGACCATTAGTAAAGTACCCATAACTCTTTCCATGCCTTGCAAGGAGACTTTTAGGGCAGATGCAGTGGGAAGGACTTCACCATCTCCTATAGGACTAAGGCAGTTGTGGCCCAGACCCTCTCCCACTGAAGTCAACAACTCAACTCCTAAAAACGAGCTCTGTCAGGAAATGAGTACTTCTTTACGTACCATAAGTTACAAGACTCAAAAGTAATCAACTCCTTATGTTTTTCACAGCTTTGGTATTTATTGGGATTAGAGTCAGATTCTTTGGAAACACTTTCTAGCACTGTTTGAAGACTCAATTTCGTGTTTTATGTCATTTAACTGCTTGGAAGCTTTTGTTCAAAAATAACTGCAAGTATTCTTATGCCATGAGTATAATGGGATGATTGCATGACTACAGAAATCTTGGAAATTTACATAAACAAGGTGACAAACCTTCCTCTGCCTCATCCTTGTGCATGCCCTCTATTGCCTGCACACAAATCTCTGCCCTGTATCACAGGTTTGTTCTCATTTTCCCGCAATTACCAACAATTCTGTCCTCCCTCTTGTAAGAATCCTCCAGATCAGCACTGGCGGGGATGCAGCCCTTATTCCACAGCATTCTGCAGGCCATCAGCCTCAGGGTCCCCACTGTGGACAGATGTTTGCCTCTGCACTTTTGCCGGCAGCAAAGCGCTGCTCTCCGTAGCACCAAAGGCTGGGAGTGCCCGTGCCTCCGAGCGCTCTCCCAAATCGATAGCCTCCTGCTGCTGCACAAACACCTAACTGGAGCAGAGATGTTTATTTTCAAAGTGGGAGACTCTGCTTCTGTGACAGTGTTTTATTACAACAATTTTGATGCCGAACCTGCAATCTGTGCGCCAAGACAAGCCTCCCCTTGATTTCAGTGCGAGCGCTGCCTGCCTCACAATTGCAGAATTAGCTCTTTGCTTTTATTGCTATTGGAAAACAAGCCTGCACTTGACAAGGAAAAGGCAATAAGTGGATCATGTCAGGGAGACGTGCTCCTGTGAGAAATTTCTAGCAGGAAAAACCCAGCTTCGGGACGGCAATGAGCTACAGGACTGTAGTTTCAAGGATTCTGGGGAGGAGCGTGGTCGGGGACCGCGGGAAGGAGAACCTGCGAGGTCAGGGAAAAAGCCTCATTCCAACGTGAGCCTCAGGCACCCGTGCGAGAGCCGACACACGGGCAGAAAGGCTGCAGCCGCGGAATGAAGACAGAAAGCGTCCACAGGGGAGTCCGGGGCTCACACGAGCACGCGGATTTCTGCGGGCAGGCGGTGATCTGGCCGCAGTGTGTGCCCCCCCAGAAGGGCAGCCGTCCCAGAAGAGGGGCACGGAGCCTTAGAGGTACAGCGGCCCACGACCCCCTCCGGGCGCTGAGCTCCAGCAGCCCGAGGACCGGAGAGATAACGGCCGGTCAATATTTTAATTCGTCTCATTCCATCACAGGGCGTGCGCACCACAACCCCCCTCACCGGCTTTTAGCTATGGGGTGGGGGGGGGAGGGAGGATGCTCCCGGCTCCCTCCCGCCCCGCCTGCCCCCGGCCCAGCCCTACGAACACCATTTTGCGCAGGGAGGGGGGGATCCGGGGGTCGGTCCCGCCCGGCTCCGCAGTGGCAGCGCTGCCCCGTCACCTGACCGCCGTGCGCGCGCACCGCACCGCACCGCGCCGCCCCCCCCCGCATCCCCTCCCCTCCCGCGGGGGCGGGGGTGCCCGGTATATACGGCCCCGCCGCCCCCGCCCCTGCCTGCCTCCTGCAGCAGGGGAGGCCGCCGCTCGCCGCCGCACCGCGCCCGGCCCCGCAGGTGGGCGAGCCGCAGCGGGGTCCTCCGGGTGAGTGCGCGCGGTCCCCCCCTCCGCCGAGGGGTGCGGACCTGTTGCGGGCGGCCCCGCTTCTCCCCCCACCACCACGCCCCGGGTCCGGTGAGCTGCGCGCTGGGGCTGGGGGAAAAGTTTCCGCAAGTGGCGGAGGTGCCGCGGGGGGGTTCGGGGCGGGGGGCGGCCGGACAGCCGCACCGCGCTGCGGGCGGGGCGGGCGGCTGCGGAGGTGCCCCGGCCGCTGGGTCCGCGGCGGCTCCTCGCCGAGTATTATTTCTTAAGTTGTAATCCCCCTAACTTCAGCGGGCATCGCATCCGCCGCTCCCAGCCCCGCGAGGCGCGGTGCGGTGCACGTCTCGCCGCTCGCCCACCTCTCGCTCCGCTCGGACGGCCGCGCGGCGCCGGCGCTGCCCGCAGAGCTCCATCCGTCGCGGGGCACGGCGCGTTTCGGGGCGCTGCCTCGCGGGAAGGTTCCAGAAGCGCGGCGGCGTGGCCGTGGGCGTGCGGCATGCGCCCACCTCCTGCGGCGATGGCTGCGGTGCGGCAGCCCCGGGAGGCGGCACGCAGAGCCCCGCTCATGCTGTCCCCGGAGCCATCGCGGAACGGGCAGCGTCGGGCTGTGCTGCTTTATCGAGGTGCTTCCGAGCAAAGCGGCTGGGAAGTCAAGGGGAAAAAAAAAACAAAAGCAGAGGTGGGGATGCTTGCTTGTTACAATCCTTCTTCCTGTGGTACAGCGATAGATGCGTGTGTAGCACTGCTGTTAATGAGCTCTGTGCAGCAGTTCTCTGACGAGCCAGGAACATGAGGGTGTCTGCTTGAGGAGAAATGGGGTATTGGAGGAGCCCTGGGATTTCCAGTATCGCTTTGTAAATGCTGCCCTTCTTCTCAGCACCTCACCAAGGTGTGAAATACCTGCTTTAAAGCTTTTTTATTTTACTTTTTTTCCCCTGAAGCTTTAGCATAAAGGGAGTGGTTACTCATGGATGCGCATTGCAGGTGTTGCTTGAGCTCCTTCCTCTCGATGGTTCTAATGTTAAAACGCTCAGCGTGCGCCTCCCGGTTTGCTATGTGCCTCACACACACCCTGTTAAAACAAGGTGACATTGGGGATGGTTGCGGGGCCAGGCGGTGCCTGATGGCGATGCTTGCAGGGCCGCAGTAACACCTCTGTTCCCACTGTTGCAGGTCCCAAGATGGCCGCCGCTGCCTGGCCCCCTCCTGCGGTTTGCTGCGCCGCGTGAGTACCTGGCAAGCTCCTACTGTGGTGCCTTGGAGTCGGGGAGGGGATCTCAGCAAGAGGATTTCTGCCCATCTTGAACTGGGTGGGTTGGTTGCGACAAAGCGGGACTGCAGCACGTTGTAGGTGTTTGGGATTGGGGTGGGTAGCGTGTGAAGGACTCTGCGCTTAGTGCCATAAAAGAATAGTGAAGAACGCAGCTGTGCTTCCAGTGCTCGCATCACCAGCCCCTGTTATTTCATGTGCACGAGTGAGATGCATTTCCGTTAACTTGTGATGGTGCTTTGGCCTTCTTTGAGCCATTGGGATGTGGAAGGTAGGTACCTGGGGATGGCCTTAGTGCCGCTAGGGGCAAACCGCAGAGCACAACCAAGGTATGGTAACATGCATCACTTGTTTTGTGGGGAAGTCGTGGCATTCATGAAATAAGAATGCAGACTACCTCACTGTTGAGAAACATCTGCCTGTTTGCAAAGGCTTGGCCACGTTGCACCGCAGGTTAAGTCTTTGTGGGTTAATGGGATTCTGTCACATACACACGATAGAGTATTAGTGTAATAAGGAGTATTAGTATTAGTGTAATAAGTGTAATAAGGAGCTCTCACTGTGCCTGCATTTCTGCCTGCACAACAAGTTGTGGTCCTGAAAGCTGAGTTCTGCAGAGATGCGTGGCCATGTCTGGAGATGCAAACTCGACTTTGAAAGATGCTGCAAAGGAGAAAACTGATGGATAACCCACCAGGTGGGCTTACGAATAGATGGTGGGGGTGGCCAGGCCTGTCTGGTTACCTTCCCTTCAGTGCATCCAGCTGAGCGATGCCCTGTAGGACTGGTGCTAACATGGCGTTGTTGGCTTCTCTTAAGCCTGCCTTTCAAAGGACAAATTAAGGCTACGTGTCTTGCTTTCAGTTCGACTGGATTACATAGTGAGTCCAAGGAGAGCATGGTACCACCTGAAATTGCTTTGAGAACAGAAAATGCTATCTGCACTTTGTCGGTATCTGGTATTTTCTGATAGGATGTATTTTGGCATTTAATGCTAAGATAATGTTGCCTGCAGTCACTCACATAAATAGCAATCAAACAAATCTCGATATTTTTCCACGAGGAATTTGCCGCTCTTATGAATTAGAAGGTGAAGTTCATGTGCTTAATGAAAGTTTTATAACTTGAATTTCATGAAGTTTTTAACATGCTTTCCACTTACTGTGCCTTTGTGTAGCAGTGCCAATGTATATGCGTGGTGCTGGGAGAGGAAACAATAATGCTTACTTAATTTATTTTGACCACGATGCGTGGTGTGTCATATGGAGATTGAAGCAGGCTGTGCTTTGACAAAGGTAGGGAGGAAAATCCTTGCTGAAGGTACTCTCAGCGAAAACAACTAATGTATGCATCCCTGTTTTAGGATGTGGGGGAGCGGGTGCTTTGGAGGAGGGCTATTTTTGCTGTTGGTAATTCATCATTTTGTTGAGAACAGGTTTCCTAGTTTGGGAGGGAGGGGGTGGGAGGTGTCATTGCAGGAAAAGGTCAGCCGTTCTGCGCCTTCATTGTTTCATTCATGTGATTTTCCTTCTCATCTGACTTGCCAGGGTATTCTCTGGGAGGGAGAGAGGAGGAAAAGAGCACGATTCTGAGATGCACGCATGTATTAGAGGGGACGCTTGATTAGGAGACAGTAATACAGCCCTGCAGCCTGATGGAGTGAAACCACGACAGTCCTGAGTCAGCTGGGTGGGGCACAATGCAGCGCCAACTGTGTGCCTTTTGTCTCATAAAAATGCCTGAAACAAAGTGGTTGTCTGGCGGCCGGCGTCTGCCTGACCTCCGAAAGGCAGCAAAGTTAATGAAGGCATCACTGCCCTGCGCGCTGCCGGCCCGGTGCTGTACCGGAGAGCCACGGCTCGTCTGCCTGCCTTGTGCCGCAGCACGGCTGCTTGGAGCTCCGGAGCTCATTGATGAAATGAAAGCCTTGAGCAAAGGGCTGCTTTCCCTGATTCTTCTTCAGGTTTCTTTGCTGTGAGTGCTGTGAATTAACTTTGCGAGTTTCACGGGGTTGCTGGAAAATAGGAATTCCTGAGCTGCGCAGTAAGTCTCCTGTATTACTGAATAGTTGGAATTGCTGGAGAATCGCGGCAAACCCCGTGCATTATCTGAGTTAAATGTGGACATTGTTTAAAAACCTCACTTAATGGGGTAAAGCTCTGCTAAATGCTCTCGCTAGAAAAAAATTTGGGGCTTTTCTAAATGCTGAAAATATTGCATGGTAATAGAGGAATTTGTCGCATTCCGTAAGCTGGTTGCTTACGAGGTGCTGTTGTCTTAAAGCTCTAGGATGTAAAATCGAGTCTAATAATCCCAGATGTGTGAGCAGCTATTTCTTTGGCTAAATTTGCAGCGGTGTGAAATGTGCAGCTTCTGCTGGGCTCAAGGAAGCCTGCACCTATTGAAAAACTGTGTTGTGCGGGAGTCTGACGGAGAAGATCATCAGTGCGAGGGGAATCTTAAGCATTGTAAGGTATCCTGCAAATAATAAAAATAATAATCGTGTCAGCTTGCTCGTCCATTAAATGTTTAATTACTTCCTTTACACAGGATTGAGGAGTTTCCCGTAGAAATTAATACTTGCTTTCAGTGTTTGATGACAGCTTCGCTGCCGAAGTGCAGAAATTTGTGGTTCGTACTTTCAGCGGCAACAAACAGCATTTAATTTGCATGCATCGAAAAGAAAATGGTGGCTTCGCATCTCTCAGAGGCTGAATAGGAAACTGATGTGGTGACGTCCTAATGCTGAGGCACTGTTCTGCAGGGAATAATGCCTACGCTGGAGTGTCATCATAAAATTAGACCAACTTTAGAATGAGTGGTGAACGTTTTGGGAAGCAGTTTCTTTCTGCTGCGCTTAATATCTGCATGTTACAATGGGTGTCTGCGCTAACAGAGCCCACTCAGAAATTTAAATGGGGAATTGGCTACGGAGGGAAGTACCAGTGCTATCCAGGAACTGATTTCTCTGAGCTTGCTCTAGGATATTTAGTGGTAAGTTGAAGAAGTATAAATGGTGAACAGTACGTATTTATCATCTGTGCAGTATTGATCTAGATGAAAAGGAAACAAGTAAAAATCAGCATTTTAAATAGAACTTAAAAATGAATCTGTAAGATTTTGAAACCTGTAATCAGTGTAAATTGGAAGGGAGGGAATAGATTGTGGGAACTCTTGCAGGAAGAGAGCACATGCTCTGCTTCTTCAGCTGTGCCTTTAGCAAAGTCGTATCACGATGGAGAAGACGAAACAGCTACTAAATGTACTGGGTTTCACATCAGCTAGTAGCACTGCGAATTGCACAGCGTATTTCTGCAGACCAACGTGCTGTGCCTGTGCTTTGTCTGAGCAGCAGACCCATTTGCAAAGCTGTTTGTCACACTGTTGTTTTCATTCTAATAGGACTTATATGGAAATATTCCTGCAATGCACCTAAAGAGAAGACGAATGGCAGCGTTTATAGGAGGTGGCGGATCGTAACACAGCGCGTGTGTGGGGTGGAGGGATGCTCTCTGCTCCCCCTGCCACGGAGGGATTGGTGTGGTTTTGTTTAAATATGGTGCATGTTACAATAGGCTTATGTCAAGATGAGCACACTGCTTATGGACTCTGGGTCCTGCCCCGAGATAAATAGTGAAGATGGTTTGTTTGTCTGGCTGGTCTTGCTGTGTGGGAAAAACAGCTGGGAGTCTGTTCTTCCTTCTCTTCAATCGCTTGTCTCACAAGTAAATCGGCTCTGATTTGGAGTTTCGTTGGAGGAACAGTTTGGCTTTAACAAACCAATAGACTTCCTGGATGAAGTCTTTCTTCAGCTGAAGTCCCATTTTAATTTTTTTTATATTTAAACAGCAAAACCATCTATTTCAAAATGAAACATTCCACTGAACTATAGCTGATGTTGCAATCGCTTTTACAGCAAATGCAGTCCTTAGCAGCTTGACAGTATGCTGATAGCTTAGCAGAAGGGAGGAAGACTTGAATGAGGAAAAGGAGCGGGGGGGGGGATGACTTTTTTTTTTCTTCATTGATGAAGAACTACTTTCCCTTCTGAATAGGTCAGGTTTCTTAATTTTCCTCACTAAAGGACAGCGCATGAAGGAAGGCAAGGCTTAGCATCTGATGTGGGTTTAATGCAGAGGAGGGTGCATAGCTGGACCAAAGCTCCCCCAGTGTCCCGATACTGTCACATCCTCCTGTGTCCTGGTATCAGGAGGCTGCAGCCTGCTGGAGTCGCACTGCTGAGGTGTCCTTGGTGCAACAGCTGACCTTGGGCACAGGCATGCAAGCCTCCCTCCAGCACTGCTTTCCCAGTCAGAACTGGGCAAAGCAGTGGGGATGCTGTTGATGGAGGTCCTCTGAGGTCTGGCGCTTGTGAAAGTGTTTGTGGTCTCTTAGGGAGAAATGTAAGACATGCTCCTGCTTTGTGTGGCTGAAGTGGCTTAGAATTCCTGCTCTCCAGAGCCGTGTAGGCTCATCCACAGGCCAAGGGTGGTGCTTTCAGAGAGGGGTTGATATTCAGGTGTCAGTACTGGAGCCTGTGTGTGGGTTCATGTGCAGCCTTCTGGGGGAAGAAAGGGCTTTTCTCTGAAGTGAAAGCAGTGCCTGTTTATAGGGAAGCACTGTGTTCCTTTGCCTGAGAAGAGGCTATAGCAGTGCATGGAGCAGGGCAGCTGCAGGGTAGATGCAGCTTATGGCTGTGAGTGGTGCTCCCTGTGCATTGCACTCAGCAGGATGGCTCTACAGCCCTCTGGCTTTTGCCCTTGGACAGTATCACTTGCTGGATTACGGAGGCTGTCGCTTCTCATTGCTGTCTCTGACTGTCAGAGGCAGTCCAGTGCTCCATGCGAAGCTATGGGAGCATTGTGTATGGTTGAGAAACAGCTTGCAGGGCTGGCAGGCTATAAAGTGAGTAAAGTGAGTCCAGTTTGAAACTATTGAGTCCTGACATGGTGGCTTGATTCTGCTCCATTAATTTGCTGCTTTTCTGCCCTTGATGCCTTCAGGTGCCACTGTAGGGTGGGAGGAATGTCACCTCACAGT